AACAAGGAAATCATGAAATTTGCAGGCAAATGGTATGAACTAGAAAAGATCATCCTGAATGAGGTATCCCAGAAGCAGAAAGACACACGTGGTATATACTCACTTATAAGTGGATATTAGACATATAATATAGAATAATCATACTGAAATCTGTACACCTAAAGAAGCTAAGCAAGAAGGAGGACCCTGGGTAAGATGATCAATCCTCATTCAGAAAAGCAAATGGAATGGACATTGAAAGAGGGAGAAAACAGGGAATAAGACAGGAACCTACCACAAGGGGCCTCTGAAAGACTATACCCAGCAAGGTATCAAAGCAGATGCTGAGACTTATAGTCAAACTTTGGGCAGAGTGTAAGGAATCTTATGAAAGAAGGGGGAAGGGAAAGACCTGGAAGGGACAGGAGCCCCACAAGGAGAGCAATAGAACCAAAATATCTGGACCAGGGGTCTTTTCAGAGACTGATACCCCAACCATGCATGGAGATAAGCTAGAACCCCTGCACCGATGTAGCCCATGGCAGCTCAGTCTCTCAGTAGTAAGGGGAACAGGGTCTGTCTCTAGGCAACAGTAGTTTCTCAATCTCAGCCTTCAGTAAGAGACAAATCCCAGCCTCATCTGGCTCCATAACCTATCTGGGACTATCTCCAGGCCCTTGGCCCATATAGCTAGGCCCAGCAAGAAAACTAGTCTCCTATGCCTTGCCCCTTTGGAGTCCTCTCATAATGCCCAGCCTATTACTACACCTCCCCACTCCCTGCCAGCTTCTGTGCTACTCAATATGACTCATGTCCCCTTAGCTCTGCCCCTTCAGAATTATCCCAATCTGTTCTGCCTATCACCTGACTGTGGATTCCAACCTAGTGGGCTTAAACCTCCTATCAAAAGACATAACAATAATCTAATTTCAGATGCCTAGATTCCACTACAAAGTCAAAAGCAATATGAAAACCAAGGACAGTATGTCTTTTCCAAATACTGTCAGTCTTGTAGTAATTGTTTGCAGTAAGAACTACTTATACAAAACTGAAGACACAGACTTGAACAATTTTTAATGTGTTTTAAAAATTAAGGAATTTTAAGAGGACATAGATAAACATAGGAATAAATTTATAAAGTACAGGAATAAGCTTTTTATTGAAGACCAAGAAAACACAAACAAATGAGAAAAGAAATTATTATAATTCAGGATATTAACACTGAATTCAATAAAGCGATATAAATACCGAAGAAAACCAAAATTGAAATTGATCTGGAAATAAATTTTTCAATGAGTCTAATAAAACCCAGTGAACAGCTTCACTAACACAACAGATTACAAAGACGACATGATTCTTATCAAAGCTTGAGGTCAAGATAGAAAAATTGGATCATTCAATCAAGCAAAATGATAAGTCTTTAAAAACTCATGAGCAGAATATGAAGGAACTCACATGAACAGAATATAAAGAAACTCACAGACTATGAGAGTTATATACTAAGATGAGATAAATAATTTAACATACTTATAACAAGAAAGATTGAAGCAGTAATGAAAAATAAATCTCCTGGCTGAAAAAGTCCAGACAGAATCACAATAGATTATGAGATATTTAAAGAATAACTACAACAACCAATTCTACTCATATTATGCCATGTAATATAAATATATGGAAGACTTCCAAACTCCTCATATGAAGCCAGAATTACTCTATATTACAACCAGTAAAGACACACAAAAAGGATGTAGATGCAAAGATTCTTGACAAAATACTGAAAACTAACTACAAGTGCACATGGAAAAGATCATTCACCATAATCAATTTGGCTCTATCTCAGAGATGAGGGGCTGAGTCAACATTAGAACCAAAACTCACAGTCATCATAAAAAGGCCTTTGACTAAATTCAAACTCCCTTCACAAGTTCCAGAGAGCATAAGGTTAGTAGGAATAAACCTTTATATAATAAAAACTACATATGACAAATCCATAGCTAACATCATCTTAAATGGAGAAAATGTAATATCATTAAAAGCAAGAAGACGACTAGGTTGTTCACTATCTCCAATAAAGTGCTCAAAGTCTTGGCTAGACCATTCTGACAAGAGAAGACATACAATCAGGAAGAGAATTCAAAGTATTCTTGTTTTCAGATAATATGATACTACACATAAGAGACCCTAAAAAGCTCACCAAGAAAACTCCTAGAACTGATTTTTACTTTCCATAAAGTATCAGGATACAAAATAAACAAACATCAATAGTTTTTTTTTTCTATATAACAATGTGAAACACACTGAGGAAGAAACCACAGAAACAATTCTATTTGCAAGAGGCTTAAAAATCCCTCAGAATAAACCTATCAAGAATGTGAAGGAGTTCTACAATGGAAACACGAGAACTTTAAAACTTAGGAAGACATTAGAAAATGGAAAGCTTTCCCATGCTCATCGGTTGTTACAATACTGTGAAAATAATAATCCTATCAAAAGTGATCTATAGATTCATTCAATTCCAATCAAAATCCCTGTGCCATTATTCACTGAAATAGAAAATAAAATAAAAATCATATGGAAATATAAAAGACCCTGGATGGCCAAGGCAATCCTGAGCAAAAAGAATAGAGACATTATTATACCTGACTTCAAGTTCTACAATAGAATTCTAGTACTAAGGGATGTTGTAGTGGCACATGCATTCACACACAAACCCAGATATGTTAATCAATGAGAGAGCATAAACGTTCCAGATAGAAGTCCATGCAACTACATACGTCTGATTTTTGACAAAACTGCATCCTGGAGGAAAGACACTTTCAACAAATGGTGTTGGGAAAACTAGATGTCTTCATGTAGAAGAATGAAACTAGACCCTCATCTCTCACTGTTTAAAAAAATAAACTCCAAACGAATCAAAGACCTCATTGTAGTATATGAAATTCTATAACTGCTTGAAGGGAAGGATGTCCACAACTAATGACTGGATTATGAAAATGTGCTTCACTGGGATTTTACTCAGCTGGAAACAACAATGACTTTATGAAATTTGCAGGTAAATGGGTGGCCCTAAAAAATTTCATGCTGACTAAGGTTAGCCAGGAACAGAAAAGCAACCACACTATCCATCATATGTACACCACACATTTTCCATCATATATAGATCCTAGCTTCACACCTCTAATTTTGTATGTTAATTTAGAGTACTAGCAGAAGCCAGGAACATGAAGGGGGCAAATAGGAGTAAGAAATGGTCACGGAAATTAGAAATAATCAAAGTGGAAGTGAGGCAAAGCCTGCTCCTCCCAGATAGCTTAAGTCCTGAACTTACAGAAGCTTCAATGTGGGTTACTGGGGTAAAAATGGTATTAATGGTCTTACCCAGCTGTGAATTTTACAACCTCAAAGACCATTGTGGAAGGAAAGAGGATCACATTTGTGCAATAGTGGCCCTATGTTATTGGGGTAAACAACTTCTGATCAAATGTGAGACCTACTCCACAGGATAAAATCCATGTCTATTTCTGTAAATCTGATTGCATAGACATTGCTATGGAGATCACAGTTTCTAGTAGGGAATAGAATACTGAAGTTTAGCAACTGACATATATCAAACTACGCTTAAAAGTATTTGTTTATGCCCACAGAGGTACAATACTCTCAGCCTTAATCTCCTTCCAGTGAACTGTAATTAAAACAGAGACGCATAGCCGCACAAGGTACTGAGAACATGTGATGGGTGAATGTTAAGCCCTAAATAAGATATTTATGCCATCCAGTCTATAGCTCATGGAACATTGGGGATAAAATTGAAATGGAAAAGCATATAAGAGCTGATATAGGGAGAAGGCTATAGTGTCACCTCCAAGTAAAACACAGCTATTGCAACCACAGACTGAAAGCTACTCAGGATAACTTCACTGAGTATGCACAAGAATGGAACTGTGAACAGTCTAGTATGGCTAGAGGAGGGTCCTAGGAGGCTCTGTTCTTCCCAACTGGACTATTTGCTACTGATTGATTTAGGGAAAGGGGGAAACCATTGTTTTTATGTGCCCATTGACAATTCCACCAGGTTCCAATGGATAGTTCTAATTCAGTAGTCACACAGATGAACAAATATCTATACAAATTAGAATTTTGTTGTCTCAAACGAAAATGAAATCATGACATTTGCAAGAAAATGAAAGGCTCTGGCAATCATTATATTAAACATAGTAAGCCAAACTTAAAAAGACAAAATTTTCTTTAAAAAGACTGCATATTTTCCCTTATATATCAAGTCTAGAGTTAAATAAGTATATGCATGTCTGATGAAACTAGAAACGGATCATAAAAGGGGAGGAAGGTATCATATGGAGAGAGAGAAGCAAGGAACAGAGAAAGAGAATCACATGACATGAAAATATTAAAGGTGCTGCTGTTATGGCGGTATATTCTACTCCTTTATATTGACTGTAAAAGTAGACTTGAAATTGATGGACCTTGTCCTCCAGCTATGTCTCAGGAATGAAACATATTCCCTTCATTTTTTATTATACATTTCCCTCATTTTAAAAACAGGACTGAAAGATACATTCCATTTTCTGTCCCTAAAAATCCCAGGCTTCAGGACTGTTTGCTATGGTTGTCTCAAAATAGTTTCACCATGTGTGATTTTCTTTTATCAGTTTTCCTTCAGTCAATAGACTAACAGATGGCCAGCTGTTACTCTGTACATATTTTTGTAACAATTGCTTTTGCTTAAGGCAAAGGCAAAAATTGTGATTCCTTGTGTTCTGGGGGTCCAAACATCCATGCTGCTTTTAAGATGACTGGCAATTTTCTTGTTACCCAAACTCTCATGGCTCGCTTTTCATCATTTAACTGAATTGCATTTCTGTAACTTTAGCGAAAAACAGTTTTCACAAAAGGGAAAGTTATTATCTAGAGAATTCCAGTGACAATTATCTAAAATGAGCTCCTGCATTTTTATTGTAGTGAACAGAACTTAAAAGTAGTTGGTGCCACTCTGAAAAACTTACTTGGTCTGTGTCAGATCAACTACGATGAGATCTTTCTCTAGAAGCACAGCAACAGCATAGGGTTCTTGAAATTCTACAACAAAAAGAAGAAAAATGAAAAGTTTCCATAACGCATTTTTCATTTAAAACAGCAACACTGTATTTCTTTTATCTCATAGAGAGATATTATTTAAATAATGAGAAAACCAAATTATGAGCTAAAGTGACAAAGAACACTTTAATAAAACATGTTGTATTTGATAAATGTAATGTTAGTATCTCTAAGAGAACTAGGAAAAATGACCACATGTATAGGACACAGCCAAATATGTTTCAAAAATCATGGAGCAATGGTAATCCTGGGCTGTTAGAAGAGAGCGAGGGTGTCACCTCAACCTTACGATCACTATGGTACTCATGACCTCAGTTTTAGATATCACCATGCCTACGAGGAGACACACTGAGACTGTACTAGCCCGCTTCTCTGGGGTATGATACATGATTTCCTCACTTGACAGTAAACCTCTCATAGCTAGTTCCTCAAATCAATATGGTTTAGTGTATTCTTGGAGATTACTTCCCGTGATACAAGCCTTCAAAAAGTAAGCAGTGTGAGGTAACCTAAGATTTTCAAGTTTCCAAAATCCAACAGGCTTTCTATTGTTTCTTTCCCTTCTGTTTCTCCTCCATTATATTTCACAAACTGTCTCAAAAACCACAGGCTATAGGGGAAATAAATCTGACAAAAAATCTTTCTTGTGGAGTTTCAGTTCTAGGGTTATTTACAAGCTGTGAACAAGTGAAGAAATAAGGATTCAGGAGTGACTATGAGCTATGAGAAAATAAGGGCAATAGTATATAATGAAACTTGTGTTTGGACTGGGAGTAGTGATTTAGTTAGGAGCCAAAGAATGCATTGTTTTCCATTTATAATAAACAACTAATGGCAAAAGCCACAGTGAAAGAGGCGTTCTCAGCTTAAGAAAACTGTGCATGAAAAAAAACATTTTATATGCATGGTCTTTGATTCTCAGTAGCTGCAGAGTGTTATTTTTTTCCATAGTATTAAGAAAGCAAGTCCAATGAGGCATAGAAATATTAGCCAATGGTTATGCTGAAATTTCAACCTAGGACTTTAAACTCTAACAGCTATCTCATTTTCTTTATACCAGCAGTTCCTACTGGCTAGTTTGGAAAGTATTATCCTAAAAGTGTAAGTCACTCAGCACTCATCAGAACTACAGTTTGATGGCCACACTGTTCTCATGCTGAGACTTTCCCGTTCCTTATCCCTAGAGCTATTTCAAGTTTCTCAGCATTGCTTTAATACAATTTGGGTTTGGGTTTGGGTTTGAAGAACAGTAGGGTTCCGTGTAACTGCTTATTTTCTCTTTGTCAGATCTCCTTAGAAACATCATTGACCAAGTTTATATGAAGTGTTAGAAGATAAAATAGCTAAGTCACTATCATGTGTGAACTAAAGTCATAGATAAATTTTAGATGGTTAAATCTGTCAAAAGTCATTGTTGTTCCTGAACAAATAAAAACTGGCAGCACAAATTTCACCCTTGTAGAAATACTTTGTGTATTTTAACAGCTACTCAAGAACTGTTTAGGAATCAATGTTCAGTTCAATCCTTTGCCTAACATTTACTAAAAGTTTTTTCTTTTTTTTTTTTTTAGTTACATTCCTTGACTTGAAGTTCCTTTTCCACTAAAATGGCCCAATTGTAACTACCTTAAACTGTTGCAGAAGTTATATAAAAAACAAATGATGAAATTTATAGTTAATAGATAGCAGCTATATTATCTTTTTAGGTTGGTGTGTCTCACCTTTTAACCTTTGTTCCTACCACAAAAGGGTATAAATTCTAATATAATTATTATTCTGAAAAGAAATGATCATTTGAGATGTTTAAAGATATCTGGCCAACTAAATATAGATGTGAACTGGCAAGTTCTGATTATAGTCATTACTCTAGGTGATGATCCAATTTACAGTGTTAAAGCATTTGAGTTTTATGAGAATGAGTTAAATCATCAGATGTCATAAAGGTATCATAAGTATTAAAATTATTAATAACTTCATTTAGCCTGGGAATGACATTTATCATTATGTAGCTTTAGAGAAGATTGAAATTCCCTATTATCTAATACAGAATAATTAAAATATATTAACAAGATGATATCAGACAGTGAATATTCTGTCGTATGTAGAAAAAAACAAGATAATGTATACTTAAGTAAAAATGCATCTGAAGAGAATAATTAAAAGGTGAGTAGTGCTGCATGACTCGGGAGGGCAAGAGAAACTGCATTACATAATGCCATCGACTGTGGGCTGCTTTCCTGGTGCTTTGGTATTTCAATGTTTGAATAGTTAAAACACATTTTAATAGTTCATATGTTTATATTCTCATGAGTATATTTAAAACCACTTCTCCTCAAATCTGACAAATGAAAAGTTCAATCCTCCTGAATCAGTTTTCTGAAAAACGGACTTATTAATCCATTTGTGGAGAATGTACATGGCTTAGCAGATTTATACCTTATTAAAATTATTATAAATCATCCTTGCATTGGTCCTGATGTTCAGAAGACTTTATGCACAAGACATATACTGTTTAATCTTCACAAAAATAGACTCTCAACTTCTATTTCAGGCATATCTCAATGCTCTTGATAGGAGTTTTCCTAACTTTAACTTTTCGTTCTGTATTTTTACTTTTTTTTCTGTTTCTTCCACATCCTTTCCTAGGTGGCTCCAACCTTTGTTCTTTTGTTATCCATATTCATAACTCCAAAGAACATTTAAATTGTGATAAATCATGAACAAATATTTTAAACATTTTTTCCTCTTTTTGGTATTTAATAACACTATTCAATCTTACTATTTTTTCTTTTTAAAAAAACAACAACAAAAAACAAAACATGTGAGTCTAGGCACCTTGCCTCTACTGCAGCTTGATAAGCCATGTTTGGTTGATATCCATGGGAGGCCTGCCCTTTTCTGAAGAGCAATGGAGAAGGAGAGGATCAGGGGTGGGGAATAGGTGGAGGAAGAGAATGGAGGGCTAGAAGGAAGGTAAACTGTGGGGGAGATGTAATATATGAGAGAAGAAATTTAAAAATAAAAAGCAAAAAAAAAACTATGAAAACATGCAGTGGTTATGGTTTGTTTCATTTTTGATTATTTTGAAAAAAGTCTTACACACACTATCGCACAAGCTGCACTAAAACTCACTATGTGGCTTAGGCTGCCCTTAAACTGATGGCAATCCTCTTGCCTCAGTCTACCCAATTTTGAGAATACATGAGTGAAACAGCACACCAGATACATTAAATATGTATCATTTACAAATGTCTTTGCTGTAGTTTGGATTTTGAGTCTCCTTGAAACCAACATATTACTTGGACAAACCCTACTGAGACTACTGCTTTCTTTCATCTTAGTATCTCCTCAAAGTTCTTTTATATCTCCCCAAACAACTCCAAAACACTTAGATGTCTTCTTCTAAATTGATCTTACCAAATCCCACAATTTATAAAACCTTTACTCCATATTCTCAATAAGGTCTGCTTCAGTCCTATTTCTTAACAAGGCTTTACATGAATATTTCAGTCATTTAACCAGCTATAAAATGATGGATTACTTATACTATGATTAATGTAACTCAACATTATAAGCATGCATACTTCAATTCAACAAATCATAGTTGTTTCATTGACCCAATCAGACTTTGTGCAATTTATGTAAAGATTATGCTCATATTTCTGTAAGTTTACTAAGTCCTTGTATAAGGCCAAACAACATATATGCCAATTAATTAAAAATGTAAGTTATTAATATCTAGTAATTGTGGAAATAAAGTACCACATTGATTGTTATTCATGACATATTTTAAATATAAAGCTAAATAATTTAAAGGAAATCAATATATTTAACAATGAAACACAACATACATATTTTCATAGTTAACAAGATATGTTCATTTGCCTTTATACTAATCATATTGGGGCAAAATTATTCCCTTTCTATACATGATAAAGCATGTACGTATCTTACTTAGTAGCTAATAAATGCCAGAGTAAGTCATAAATCCAAATATTCTGTCCCAGGTCCAATAGTCTTTGCCTTACATCTACAAGTCCCGTTTTGAAAATGTAGTAATGTGTATTAATATTGTTTTGATCATAAATTCTTATTTCTGGTTTATATTTTATCCGTTTTAGATTTCTTTAAAATATTTTATCACCGTTAGATTTTATTTTTGTATGAGTTTAGACTAGTTTTTACGTCTACAAAACGTTTTGTATCTTTATTCAAGATGATAAACATACACATGCATGTCTCCTCCTGATGGTCTTATTCTCCAGATTAAAATAAATCACTAACCACACATCAGCAATCCTAGAGTAATCAGATGTGCTGCAGCTGCATCTGAAGCAAAGCCAGATGAGAAAGAGGTGCAGCACCACCAGAGTTCCAGATCACTGATATCAGGTAAGTGCTTTAACTTTGATTGGCATTGGGATGGGATGGGTGGAGCTGGTCTAGGAGAGACTATTAGGAGACCTCAGTTTCCCCAAGTGATTTCACCCTGGACCCCTATCGGACCCTCCCAGCTCAGCTTCCACCATCCTTATCAAAGTTTAAAGCACTTACCTGACATTAGAACCTGAAACGCCAGCACTGCCGCACTACATCTGTCTTACTTCCAGTCTGCCAAGTGGGTACAATTGCAGAACCTGCGCCAGCAACTGTAGCTCACAGTGTTGTGCCACAGGGGATGTCTGCTGCCAAAACTGAAAATATTTAACCTTAATTTCATTAGGAACTTGTCATTTCAAAAACGACTTTTTTTTTTTTTTCTAAAAATTCGATGTTTCATTTTATCCACTTACCGTTTGGATAAGGTGTTTCACATAAAGTTAGAAATTCAACAATGGGATGATCCATCTCAAGTACTGTAATTGCTTTTCCATGCATGATGGTTAAACTCGGTCTTCTGCAAGCTTTGTCATATGACAGCCCACCAGAGAATATTATAAATGGTTCACTACACAGGGAAAAAATGGACAATGAGACTATATTCCTTAAGATAACACAGAGTCAAAACTTAAATATTTCAATCATAGATTCTGAGGAAATTATCTACAATGCAAATGGCCTTTCCAACTCTGTTTCTCAACTAACTACTGACTATTTTATCATCTTCCCTTTTCTGGATCTACATTTTAGCTATTAGAGTAACTAATGGGTAAGTGTAAAAATATTTGGTGGCATGGGGAAAAGACAAAATGGAGGGAAGTGGATGTACTCACTCACTCTTTGAGAGACATAGATGCACAAATTTATTTAGATACCAAATTCTATATTACTATCATTAGAACATTAGTTTATGTTATTCAATTAATGAGTAATATCTAAGATAAAAAGAGAGGCAAATTTTAATACAAAATGAAATATAACAGTGAAAATCTCAGAATGGTAGGTGAGAACATGAAATTCTAGATAAGAAAGTTTGTGTAGTTAAGAGGTTTATGAGAAGATAGAAAAATAGTATGTAGGTGAACAGTGATTTATCAGAGAAATATCTTCTATTTAATTTTATGCATGTCCAGCAAATTCTATCTGGCTCAAGTAATTTCACATAAAATTTTATTTTATTACTTTAATAATTTTTATTTTTGAAATAAAAATATATTTATAAAATATATTATATATATTTTATATATTATATATTTATATAATATATTTTATATATTATATAAAATAAAATATAATTATATCATTTCCTTTTGTCCCTCCAACCACTTACACGTACTCTACTTTGCTCTCAAATTATGGCCTCTTTAATTGTTGACACACCACACACACAAACACACACACATATATTACTTTTCAAGATATGAATAAGTAGTAAAATGTGGCTTATTCAATCCGGCTTGTTTGGATCGAGACTGTTTGGCTTGTAAGGCATTTACAGAGACAACTGCCTTGTGGAAAGCAACTGCAGGCAGTGAGGGAAGACCTGTGCTGAATGTTGGCAATGTTGTTCCATAGTCTGGGGTTCCAGAGGAACAGAAGAATAAGAAAGGGTGCTGGCATAGGCTTCCTCTTGCTCAGTCTGCTTCTCGGCTGACATAACGTAAGCTACTTTACTGTGTGTGCCTTTCTACTGTGATGGTTTTAATTTGCCTTGACACAAGACTAAAATAGTGGAGCCAGCCAATGACAAACAGAGCCTTCTGCAACCTAAAGCCAAATAGGTCTTTCTACTTTAAGATATTTATTACAGATTGATATTAAAATGACACAAAGTGACTAACTCAATGAAGCATCCTTCAATTATAAATACTACAGCTGTCTATAGTTTCACAACTTTCCATTTTTCTTCTCTAAACTCAATGCTTATCTTTATGTTAATAAAGAAGTGTTTTCTGCTAGTAAATACCCAGTTGAAAGTATCTCTCTCCAAATACATTTTATAAATAACTAAAGGCTCTTTTCATCAGAGTCCTTGGAAAGTGTCCTTTTCTCAGTAACCCACTCTACTTTCTCTGCTAAGCTAAGAAGTGGCCTGTTCTCTGTAAGTCACTACATCTTCTCTTTTCCATTTGATGTTATGCAATCATTTGTTAATTTTATGCTGAGTGAAGAACAAAAACATAAGCTTTACTATTTCTATCACATTTACATATAAAATACCTATTCTCATTTTTTCTTATTTTTACACAATTACTTGAATTATAAACAAATCAGGCAAAAAAAAAAAAAAAAAAACTTCTGTTTTCTGAGTCTTCCATTGGGGATTTATTTGAGTGAATGGCTTAGAATGAGTGATTTGACAAAGTAAGAACCCACTAATCTTGTAATAGAAAGCATATATCCTACCGTTTGAAGTATACTTCCATCTATCTGATAACATAACATTGTAAACCTTAAGTACATACAATAAGATTTTTAAGTAGTAAATGTAGGTACACTATAGTTTAGGGGTTTTGTTTTTAATTAAAAAAATGTGTGTGTGCTTGGGTGTGTTTGCACAAATTTGTGTGTATTGTGTAAATGCAGGAGCACAAGAGACCAGAGAATGAAATGGGAATAACAGACAATTGTGCATGCTGGGAGCCAAATCTAGGTTCTCTGCGAGAGCAATTAGTACTCTTAATAGCTGAGCCATCTCTCCTAGTCCCCAAATTGGGCTGTTTTACTCAGTTTTCATAATTACATTCGAGTTGTCAAAAACCTGTATCATTTTAATTCTAAGGTTCTGTGGTGGCTTGAATGAAAATGTCCCTTATAGGATCACATATTTGAATGTTAGTCAGATTAGTCAGCAGGAAGTGGAACTGTTTGAGGATTAGAAAATTAGGAGGTGTGTCCTTGTTGGAGAAGCGTGTTACTGGGGGTGGGCTTTGAGTTTCCAAAAGCCCACTTCAGGCCTGGTGTCTTTCTCTTGCCTGCTGCCTGTGGATCAGGATGTACTGCTCTCAGCTACTCCCTCTATGGTGATTAAATTTTTTGCTGGATACAGCAGTCGGAGCTGACATCAGTGGTCTCTTAGGGTCTGTAGGATATCTGTCCAGACCCTTCTGCCTTTTCGATTTTCTGATGAGAAGTCAAGTGTAATTCCGATAGGTTTACATATATATATATATGTGACTTGGCCCTTTTCCCTTGCAGATTTCAATATTCTCTCTTTGTTCTGTACATTTAATGTTTTAATTATTATGTGGTGGGGTAGTCTTTTCTGGTCCTATCTGTTTGTTGTTCTTTAAACTTCTTGTATGTTTATAGGCCTCTCCTTCTTTAGGATGGGAAGTTTTCTTCTAAGATTTTTTTGACACTGTTTTCTGAACCTGGGAGCTGAGAGTCTGCTCCTTCTTCTATTCCTATTATTCTTAGGTTTGGTCTTCTCATATGTCCCAGATTTCCTGGATGTTCTGTATCAGGAGCTTTTTAGATTTAACATTGTCTTTTGACTGATATATCGATTTTTCAATCATATCTTCTACCCATGAGATTCTCTCTTTCATCTCTTTAATATGTTGGTGATGCTTGTGTCTGTAGTTCCTGTCCTCTTCCCTAAGGTTTCCATCTCCAGAATTGTCTCTGATTTTGTTTTCTATATTGAGTCTATTTCCATTTTTAGGTCTTGAACAGTTTTACTCATTTCCTTCTCTTGTTTGTAGTTTGCTGTATTTCTTTACTTTCTTTAAGAGATTTGTTCAATTCTTTCACCTGTTTGACTATTTTCCTGTGCTACTTTGAGAACCTTATTTTCATAGCTTAAGGCCTCTGTCATTTTCATAACCTCACATTTAAAATCCTTGTCTTGCTTCAGGTGTAATAGTATCTCCAGGGCTTGCTATAACAGAACAGCTGGTTTCCAGTGGTGTCATATGGCCCTGATTTTGTTGCTTGTGTTCTTACACTGGACTCTAGCCATCTCGTTGACTGTGTTGTTAGCCAGCCTGGTATGAGTTCACTGTGACCAGGTGGGCCAGGCAGATGGGGAGGTGGAAAGTTCTCCAAGCTGAAAGCTGTTCCGGTGCCACACAGGCCTCCTCAGGCTGGGAGACAATGGGGCTTGGGTCCCACCCCCAGCTAACTTCTGCTGGGTTGGCTGTCTCTTCTGGGTTCTCTGTCTGTGACCCAAGTGAGGGAGGCAGATGGGGAGCAGGTGGAAAGATCTCAAAGCCAAAACCTTTTACTCAAATACTTCTAATAATATAGAATGCTGTGGTTCTAATGATAATAATAACAGCAGTGATTTGATTTATTAAGAAACTGAGTGTGTGTCCTCTTAGTCATGATAATCTAAGTTTTATGCATTATTTCATCGAGTTTAAATAAGCAGTATAGTAAGTCAGGCATTACTGGTGATGGAACTAGAGATTATGGTAAAATGAAAACTCTTAGCCATGTTACTGCAAAGTCAGTAATGAAGACAGTACACTGCTTTATCTGAGTTCTGATTCCTGAAGTACCGTTTTTACTCTCATCCTTTAAGTCAGAAATTTTCTTCCCCGAAGAATTGTCCTGATCCCTGTCTTGATGGCTCTCCTCTCTATTGCCCTGGAGGCTGCGTTGGATGCCCCTTTTCTTGTTTTTTTTTCTTTAAAAATTTTAATTGTCCAAAATCTGATAGATATAAATTTGATAATATTTACAACCCAATTATACTTTTGTCCTCTTTCTATGTCCCTAAGGCAGACTACTATAGAACTACTTTTGGTGCTATTTAAAACACAAAACAAAACAAAACAAAACACTACTTTTCATCCTGATCTTTGCTCTAGGGTTTAAAAATTCAAACACGGGTAGTAATTCCTTTTTAATTTTCTTAGCACACAAATCAAATTACACAGTGTGTGATACATAGCTAAAACCAACTGAAGCAAGCTGAATATTGTGGAGCATTCCATAGGAGTACATTTTCAAAATGATACCTTTGTAACAAAATAGAAGCCATAAAGTTCACAGATCATACGATTTATCATGGGAAAAGTCTCTCGGGCTTCCCATGAAACTGTTCTCATTTTGCTATTTTATTTTCAAGATTTGCAATCTATAGAAAAGGCTGAACACTGCTTGATAATTCAATAAATGTTATTAAAAGTCCTTAGGAGAGACCAATACTGAAGTAGAAAAATTATTCCTTTAAAAAATTATACAAGTTAAAAGGAAAACCAAAATAAACCTGTAAGTTGCTTGGAATGATTAATATAATTTTTTAATTCTTTATTAATTACACTTTATTCACTTTATATCCCCCCTGTGGTTCCCTCCCTCCTCCTGTCCCAATCCCTCCCTTCCTCCACCCTCTGCATGCATGCCCCTCCCCAAGTCCACTGATGGGGAGGTCTTCTTTTTCTTCCTTCTGACCCTAGTCAATTAGGTCTCATCAGGAGTGGCTGCATTGTCTTCCTCTGTTGCCTGGTAATGCTGCTTCCCCCTCAGGGAGAGGTAATTAAAGAGCAGGCCAATCAGTTCATGTCAGAGACAGTCCCTGTTCCTATTACAATGGAACCCACTTGGATATTGAACTGCCATGGGCTACATCTGTGCAGGGGTCTTAGGTTATCTCCATGCATAGTCCTTGGTTGGAGTATCAGTCTCAGGAAAGACCCCTGTGCTCAGATTTTGTGGTTCTGTTGCTCTCCTTGTGGAATTCCTGTCCTCTCCAGATCTTACTGTTTCCCACTTCTTTCCTAAGATTCCCTGCACTCTGCCCAAAGGTTGCCCATAAGTCTCAGCATCTGCATTGATAGCCTGCAGGGCAGAGCCTTTCAGAGGTCCTCTGTGTTAGGCTCCTGACTTGTTCCCTCTTTTCTCCTTCTTCTGATATCCATCTTCTTTGCCTTTCTGGATAGGAATTGAGCATTTTATCAAGAGTCCTCCCTCTTGATTAGTTTCTTTAGGTGTACAGATTTTAGTAGGTTTATCCTATATTATATGTCTATATGAGTGAGTATATACCGTGTGCATCTTTCTGCTTCTGAGATAGCTCACTCAGGATGATCTTTTAATTTCTTGAGCCCCAATGATACTTAGAATTTGTCCTGTAAAACAGGTGATATTAATACTACTGAACTCATAGAAAAAGAAAAGTTTTAGTTATAAATAGTATTTTAAGAAGAGAAGAATTATGTAAGATTTTGTTTCCATCCACAATGTTTAAATTTGAAATATTTTATTACTTTAGTTATACTATATTAAACTGGCCTGCTAAAGAGATATTGATAATTTGCCATGATTTTCTCCTATTAAATCTTTAGAAGAGAAAGTTTTAACAAAAATAATTGTATCCATGATGACAAGAACACATTCTAATGTACGCAGGTAACTAACATAAAGTAGGATTTTTCAGTTTACAGTTATAATGTTTATGGACTGAGAGGATGGCTCAGCAGGTCAAGGCGCTTGCTGCCCAGCCTGGCACCTGAGATAGATCTCTGGAACCCACCTAAAGGTGGAAAAGAGAACTGATTCCATAAAGCTGTCCTCTGACCTCCACACGAGCTCTGTAACATGTACTTCCAAATACACACAAGTAACACGCACACATGCTTAATAATGATGATGACGATGATGATGTTCAGGCAAAGTTTATTATGCCCATCTTGGTTGGCAAATTTTTCATTAATGATTAATGTAAATTAAAGAAGCTATACAAAAGTACTGGGTATAGTGATTATAAATATAATAACATATTAAATGTTATTTTTATCTTATACATCTCAAAATTTAGGAATTTTCCATTATGACAATATACATAACTTTATAACTCCAACTAAGGGTTAACTTTCCAATTTCAGAATGTCAGATACTAAGTTTGGAGAGATCTGGCTATATCTCAAAAGAAACAGCACCAGATGTATAGATATAACTTAATAAATATGCTACCAGTATTATAAACAGCCCAAGAGTCCTCAATTATTAGAATTAATACATATGATGCTAATATAAATATAATTAAAATGAATTGTTATTTTCAAAATTCATAATCAACAAATTATGTTATTTATTTAGAGAATTAATAATTTATAAGTTTATAAAAATAAAACCTATTGTTAAAAATTATCTGCTTTCCTTCTCCTATCCCTTAGACAGATGAGGATTCACAAAGCACCACGTACCTGTTCCTGCAGGTTTTGTACTCTACTTTAAGAATTGGTTTACAAGACTCAGACTTTCGTCCTTCTCTTTGACTTTTTCCTAATGAAAGAAAAAAGCATTAAATCTAATTTAAGTTACATTGATCCATGAGAATTTTTAAAATTTCAATTAAGATATATAAACATGGAATAATAATAATATAATTTTTAAAAAGAAATCTACAAGCCTCTAGGGATGATTCATGTAGCTTTCTGTACTGCAATAATAATTCTTGAGCAGCCTATACTTTAATAGGTAATATAAATGCAACTGAACACAAAGATTCAAGCACAGATTTAATTGTAGATTTCATAAGAGAATAGCACAAGTAATATTTTATATTTCCTTCATGACAAATTTGGAATCATTTTATTACTTTAGATATACTATATTATTAAACTGGTGACTTTTATGAGTTAATGCAAAGTACAACAAAAGTACCTAAACTTGATATAAGTTTTTGCATTCTAATATTTTACTAAACTCATAAACTGTATAATCATAACAGTGGAATGTTATATAATCAATTAAATTACTTATAAAAGTATTCAGCTTTTGCTGCTTTGCATTTTCTAAATAGGAATGCAGTTTCTTACAAAGTTATTTCAGTTACTTATGTTCATAAAATAAAGTTTAGGACTGAAGACACACACATGCATAAAGAAATATATTATTATTAAAATCTATTATTTATAACTGTTATTCTAATAGTCAGGAGGCTGAGGCAGAAGACTTGAGAGTTTAAATCCAGCATAGGTTACATAAGATTCTGTTTCCCTCCCCTCCTCAAGAATAAAAAAACAAGAAGAAAAAGAATAAGATCTATATCATGTTCAATATTTTATCTGCAATAGAAACAAACTTTCATATTGCAGAAAGTCTTGTGATGTAAAGTATACAATGGACTTACAAAATCATTCAATATAATTTTAAAATGTTTTGGATTGAATGATTGATGATTGACTGGTTGATGATTGATTTACTGTGTGTAGAGGGGACACATATGTGCTAGTACACATACAGAGGTCAGAGAATGATCAACTCTCTTTTCAACATGTAGGTCTCAGGCATTGAACTCAGGTTGTAATGTACAATTAACATTCAATGTAAAATTACTGTAAAGTAATTTAATTAATGTAAAATTAATGTTCAGGCTTAAATAAAGGGACCACAGATATGAGTTTGGACTTTTAAAGACAATACTGGACAAAATTTCATTATTTTGTGTTTCCCTTGGAGGTATCTTTTTCATCCACGTTATTAATCCTATATGTAGAAGTGTATACAATATGAATTTGAGGGGATTTTGTCTTTGCACTTTTAATTTCTGCATTTTGCCATGTAATTTCTCATTTCAAATTTTTTGTTCTATGCATTGATTAGCTTAGCTAAAGACAATGTCTGTTGTCTTTACTCATTTCTTTCATTATTTCATTATAACAATGTCTGTTTTATTTCTTTCTTCTATGGTTTTGCTTTTACTACCATTAACTTCTATGATATATGTGTGATTTGATTCTTCCTTGCTATTTTATTCTATTGTATTTTTTTTTGTTTTGTTGGGTTATTATTTTTAGAGTTTGAATAAATATTTCTCTTTAGGTTTTTCCAAAATATTTTAGTACAAAAAATATTAAAAGTTACAAGTTTTCCTCTAATAATTATCTTTAATGAATTTCCTAGTTTGAGTACATAGTATTTTATATATTATACAATTTTATTCCAATTCCTTCTTTAAATGTTATTTTTAAGTACAAATATAAAGTTTGTATACAGTTCCTTATAACATTTACTTAAGTTAACTATATTTTATTTCACTGCCAACTAAAAATGCTTTACTACTCCGTTTTATAAAATTTAAGATTTTCTTGGTAATTTAAATAATCAATTAATTAAAAAAATCCAAATGTGTTTGACAAGCTGTAGCATAATCTTGTCTTTCTTTGACTAAAACTTAATTATCTGATCATATTTACCTATAAAAAGTCTGTAAATAGTTAAGGTAATGAATTGTATACTTTATGTATTTTACTACAATTTTTTATAAAGGCTGGGCATGGTGGCTCACATCTGTAATGACAGCATCTGAGAGGTGGAGGCAGGAAGCCTCCTAGTTTTAGGTTAGCCTGTCTCAGAAAACAAAATAACCAAACAAACCAGCACCTTCTCCCACAAGAGTGCATTTCTTTTTAAAGCATAGTTGTCTGATTATTTAAGATTTGTAGTTTATCTATTCGTGGTAGAAAAATTTGATTCCTAGAAAACAATGAAGTACTTCCACATAGATTTAGAAGACAGATGGTTATAAAGGAGGAGGGCAAGAATATAGAATATATTTTAGAGTATAAATGACATATCACATTTATATTATGTAGCTTCATATACATGAAGTTTTACATTGCTACTTTTAACAGATGTTTATACTATACATCCTAAGGAACCGATTAAAAAAAAATAAGGTAGAACCAAACTCTTAGAGGGAGGAGGAGGTGTGAGCTATTGTTGTCAATACAGGTCAAGGTGAAGCAGATGATGCTAGCAAAGAAAGGTTTTTTTTTTTTAATTTAATTTTATATATATAGATTTATTTACTACAATAATTCACTTTGTATCCCCTTTGCAGCCCCCTCCCTTATCTCCTCCCAGTCCCACCCACCCTCCTTCTCCCTATGAGCTTCCCCTAGTCCCCTGATAGAGAAGGACCTCCTCCCCTTCTAACTGACCCTAACTTGCCAGGTCTCATCAAGGCTGGCTGCATCATCTTCCTCTGTGGCCTGGCAAGGCTCTACTCCCCCAAGGGGGAAGTGATCAAAGAGCCAGCCACTGAGTTCATGTCAGAGACAGGCCCTGTTCCCCTTATTAGGAAACCTACTTGGGAACTGAGTAGCCAATAGGCTTCCTTTGAACAGGGGGTCTAGGTCCTTTCCATGCATGGTCCTGAGTGGAGTCTCTGCAGGATCCCCTCGGCCCAGGTATTTTTGCTCTGTTGTTCTCCTTGTGAAGTTTCTGTCCCCTCTAGGTCTTTCTATCTCCCTCTTCTTCTATAAGGATTCTGGCACTGTGCCCAAAGTTTAGCTATGCGTCTCAGTATCTCCTTCAATACCCTGGTGGGTAGAGTCTTTCAGAGGTCCCCTGTGGTAGGCTCCTGTCCTGTTCCCTGCCTTTTCCTACTTCCTATGTCTATGCTGTTTACTCTTCTGAATGAGGATTAGGCATCTTCTCTAGAGTCCTCCTTGTTTAACTTCTTTAGAACTGTAGATTTTAGTATGTTTATCCTATATTATATGGCTAATATCCACTTATAAGTGAGTATATATCATAAGTGTCTTTCTGCTTCTGGGATACCTCACTCAGGATGATCTTTTCTAGTTTCCAACATTTGCCTGCAAATTTCATGATTTCCTTGTTTTTAACCGCTGAGTAGTATTCCATTGTGTAAAAGGTTTTAAGAGGTGACTGTACCTAAGCTCAATGATTAAAGGAAGGTAAAATGCTCAGAATAAATATCAAAAGTAACTCTTGGAAGAGTTCTAAAAAGCAAAAGGTACTAAGTGGAAAAACTATCTGAAATTAAAAAAAAATCTTAGAGGTTTAATAGAATAAAAACACAGGAGCAAAAAGCAGTTAAATAGATGGTTAATTGGTTGGAACTAATCCGCTTAAAATTTGTAATAAAAATATTGCCAAAAAGAAATACAAAAATAAGATTCAGATATGTGTGCCACAACACCGAAAGTTCTAACAGAGTTGACTCATATCCCAGAAAGAGAAACAAACATAAAAGTATATTAAAGATAAATGGCATAAAAGTTCCCAACTTTTGTGGAAGTTATAAATTTAAAAAGCTTGTTAAGCCTTTTAACAATATAAATTAAAAAACAAAAGACAAAACTAGAACAAGTTCAAGCATGCTTTTGTTAAGTTGCTGCAAATAAAAGATATGAAAGTTGTCTGAAGACAACCAGAAAGAACAAACACGTTGTTTGTTCATCTGTAGTGCAGATGAAAAGTTCAAAACACTGAGGATTTCTCATTTAGAACATATTGAAACTAGAAGATGATGGGATATCAATAAAGTGGTTGTTACATTACTTAAATTCCCACATAGCAAACGCTCAGTTCATGGCTTGACATTGTCAATAAATTTAAATTTAGCAAAACAGTCTTCAAGAATGGAGATAAAAGGTATATGCAAATAAAAGAAGCTCCATAAAATAATTTCATCAGGCCTACATGAATTGCAAATAATGTTTACAAATAAATAAAATTATAGTATTTTGTCTCTTAATTATACTTTTGACCACTTAAAATTTATAACAATATATCTGTGTATCCTATATAATTATAGTATACAGGATAATGAAGGCAGTTTAATAGATCTATGTGGCTACAAGATATCTATATTTTATATAAAATGTTAAAATGCTAATGCTAAAATACACGGAGTAGTTACTTGCAACTAATGATAAAAATGAAGATAACATGACTATATGTTCCTATCAATATTTAAGTAACTTGAAAAATGGAAAAGCAAAGTAGAAACAACAAAAAACAAATAAGGCATAGACCTAAATCTACTCGTTAGTAATTATATTTAATGTTAATAGACTAATTATACTAAGACTGCAGAAACACAGACCTAACATATATTCTCTATAGGAGAGCTAACAGATGTCCATTAGCAGTCTACAACATGAATGAAGCTAAAATTGGAAGAATTAAGTTGTGAACAGGCAATTCTGTAGTCTCCGTAGTTTCCTATGAAAGTGTGTAACTTACCATGTGGAACTGTGGTTTGGAAAGGGCGATTTGGGCTTTTCAGGTTCCATAAAGTCAAGCTACCATCTGAATGGCTGCACATGAATTGTTTGCCCTCGTGATGCCAATCAATTGAATGAATAGCCTGATAAAATAACAGCAGAAAAAGTACAGGGAGAAATCAGATATATCATCATATATTCCAAAACATTTTTACATAAAATTAATAGACTGATAACATGTTAAAATAACTATTTTTCTGACCCAGACTAAGCTGTCTTTGGCTTCAACCTGTTACAAACCTTCACAAGGCTATCAAAACAGATTTCCCTAAATAAAAACAGTTCTGAAAATATTTTAATAACTTTAGATCCCAGAACATTTTATTGTAAATCCTATACCTGTCCTATATCTTAACATCTCTGTTTAAAAAATTATTTACATAGAAATAAAAGTATATAGTTATCAGAAGATAATTTCTTATAAGATGTAGGCCTAGTATCACTTAAGGTAGATAATTAAAACAAAATTTAGCTAGCACCTGAAGGCATTCTATATGCCAGATTCCATTATATACATTATATACATATGTATATACATATACATAAAATACAGTATTTAATAAATAAAATTTATTTTTTATTTTATTATTATTATTCAGTTTCCATATGGTGAAACTGGCCTAGAGACAGATAGCCACTTGCTTTTTTTTTAAGATTTATTTATTTATTATGTATACAATGTGTGTTTACATGTATACCTGCACACCAAAAGAGAGCACCAGATTTCATTTTAGATGGTTGTGAGACATCATGTGGTTGCTGGGAATTGAACTCATGACCTTTGGAAGAGCAGCCAGTACTCTTAACCTCTGAGCTATCTCTCCTGCCTTCCATTTGCTTTTTAAAGTCACACAAAGTCAAAGCCAATCTCCTTGTAAAACACATTCTCAACTGTCACATAATACTGCCTCAAACGTATCCTATACTAATTGATTTAAAGCAAGTGAGATTTCAGTTTTAAAATTTTCAAGTTCATCCAATAGTTTTGAATTGGATAATATTTAACAGTAATTACTTCATTTTTTTAGTTGTATTAATTCCTGTGGTAGTAGAATATCTTCCATAAAGTAGATTTTAAAGAAAATTCTACTGAATTAGTAAGCGTTTAATTTGACATTTCTAAATCTTTGGTATTCTTTTTTAATAAATTGATCACCACAATTTATCTATTGTGTTAAATACAAAGAGACAAGAACCAGTGGACAAAAACATCAGAAAAGTGCATAAAAACATCTTTCCTCCCTAAAGAAACTAGACTGAAGGCCAATATAGATGAGTATTAATCATAATTATTGTTTAGAACTTTTGGCACATGTGTGGTTATAAAATTACATAACTAAATTTTTTTATGTAACCAAGTGTGAAAATATCACCTGATATGGATAGTATTAGAGTTATAGCTAACTTATGCCTTGACTAATCATTAAACATTAAGGATATAAGATATGAAGTTGACCTCAAAACCTAAGATTAAACTGAACATTAAAAGCAACATGAATTCCTGGATTTGTGGGTTTTATTTTGTTTTTCTTTTCTTTTTGTTCCTTACTCTAACTATCATTTCCATGTACACTTATTCTTTTTAAAATTTTTTTATTAATTATTTATTACTTTGAATAAATAATTTATTCACTTTGTCCTTGTCTCCTCCCAATCCCTCCTTCCCTTCCTCTTCTCCTCCTATTCCCCTCCCCTAGTCCAGTGATAGAGGAGGTCCTCCTCCTCTTCTATCTGATCCTAGCCTATTAGGTCTCATCAGGACTGTTTGCATTGCCTTCCTCTGTGGCCTGGCAAGGCTGCACCCCCCCCCCCCCAGGGGGATGTGATCAGAGAGCCTGCCACTGAACTCATGCCAGAGAAAGTCTCTGCTCCCCTTACTAGGGAACTCACTTGGAAACTGAGTCTATGGGCTACATCTGAGCAGGGCTTTTAGGTTATCTCCATGCATGATCCTTGGTTGGGGTATCAGTCTCTGCAGGGACCCTAAGAGCCCAGTTATTTTTGGCTATGTTGGTCTCCTTTTGAAGCTCCTGTTTCCTCCAGGTCTTTCTCTCTCCCCCTTCTTTCATAAAATTTCACTCCTAGGCATATATCCAAAATATATTCAACTATACAACAAGGACATTTGCTCAACCATGTTCGTAGCAGCTCTATTTGTAATAACCAGAATCTGAAAACAACCTAGATATCCCTCATTGGAGGAATAGATAAAGAAATCGTGGTACATTTACACAGTGGAATACTATTCTGCTATTAAAAACAAGAAAATCATGAAATATGCAGGCAAATGGCAGGAACTAGAAAAGATAATCTTGAGTGAGGTAAACCAGAAGCAGAAAGACACACATGATATATACTCACTCATAAGTTGCTATTAGACATGTAATATAGGATAAACATACTAGAATCTATAGTCCTAAAGAAACTAAACAACAAGAAAGACCCTAGGGAAAATGCTCAGTCCTCATTCGGAAGGGCAAATGCGATAGACATTGGAAGCAGAAGACAGGGAGCAGATAGGACAAGAGCCTACCACAGATGGCCTCTGAAAGACTCAACTGATCGAGTTATCAAAGTAGAGGCTGAGTCTCATAGCCAAACTTTGGGCAAAAAACTTTTTTTCTTAATCAGTCTCCAATGAAGGCATTTAGAGAGAAAACATTCTTTACTATCTTCTCTAATTCTTTTCTCTTCTGCTGGTAGTTCAAACACTTCTTTTGTTAACTTTCCTGAACCTCAGTCAATTTAAAATTCTTAAAACTACTTAGTAAGATCTGGAGAGGACAGGAACTCCACAAGGAGAGCAACAGAACCACAAAATCTGAGCACAGGGGTCTTTCCTGAGACTGATACTCCAACCAAACACTATGCATGGAGATAACCTTAGACCCCTGCACAGATGTAGCCCATGGCAGTTCAGTTTCCAAGTGGGTTCCATTGTGATAGGAACAGGGACTGTCTGACATGAACTGATTGGCCTGCTCTTTTATTACCTCCCCCTGAGGGGGAAGCAGCATTACCAGGCCACAGAAGAAGACAATGCAGCCACGCCTGATGAGACCTAATTGACTAGGATCAGAAGGAAGGAAAAGAAGACCTCCCCTATCAGTGGACTTGGGGAAGGGCATGCAGGCAGAGGGTGGAGGAAGGGAGGGATTGGGACAGGAGGAGGGAGGGAGCCATGGGGTGGATACAAAGTGAGTAAAGTGTAATTAATAAAGAAAAAAAAATAGAAAAAAAAAGTAACAGTACACCTCTGATACTTTTATTAGCATTATAGGAAGGGATGAAAACTTGTCCATTTTACCTTCATTCACACTAAGTGCTCTTTGAGTTCACTGTTCCAGTGTTCATAGTTGTTTGATGTGATTGTCTTTATGTATCATTTTTTATTCTAAAGTAAATATATAGTTTTAAGACAAAAAACAAAACAAAACAAAAAAACTACTTGGTGAATAAAAAGCAAAGGATGAAGAAGCAGCCTGACCCATAGCTTCATCCCAACCCATTAAATCCTACCCATTGGAGAGGATAGAAAAAAAAAAGACAGCTACCACTATAAATGAAGTATGATTATATTAAACAGAGCAGTCATGTAAACACAGCCTGGCTTTAGACAGAGATCAAGATGTAGGATTGTGTATAACTAAGGAGTTGGCAATGGAGCTGATGGCAGGTGCTTGACTTTGTTATTTAATTACATCACATTCTTTTCACAAGGGTTTATTAAAAACCAAATATCAACCAACCAATAAAAGAAAAAATAGAGAGCATAAAAGAATTTGAAAAAAAAATACTAATAATATTTTGTCAACTGTGGCTTTTTAAAAACAAAAATTTAAAAACTATATAGCAATCTGATAAAAGGAAATACGCAGTTCTCCCATGGATTTAAATATTTCCCTTATGCCAAACTGAAAGATTTCTCTGAGATTATAAAGATATATCAATATAAAGAGACAAACAAACAAAACACAACATGGCTACTATAGAAGAAATCCTTTTTCTTTCTTTCTTTCCTGAGAATATTTCTACTCTCTCGTCTAGGGTAGCCTGAAACTTACTATGTAAACCAGGTTGGCTTTGAACTTGTGATAATCCTTCTGCCTCACCTTCCCAAAAGCTGGAAGTAGAGGCATAGCCTACAACACATAGCTGGAAATCATTTTCCCAGCCAAATATATCTCAATATAACATTGAATGGACTAGGGGATAGGGATAGGAAAGGAAGAGGGAGAGAGGGTGCATCTGGGAGGAGATGAGGGAGGGGGCTATAGCCAGGATACAAAGTGAATAAATTGTAAATAATAATAATAATAATAACTACATATATAATATTGGATTTCCAAACAAAAAAAAATTCAATTCATCTATGACTGTTTATCAAGGGCCACTTAGATAATTCAAATAGCTTTTGGTGCCTAAGGAACTATTAGGATTTCGATATACAAAAGAGAGAAGAAAAGAGTTCATATTTTTGGTTCTCTTGCTCTCCTTGTGGAGCTCCTGTCCTCTCCAGATCTTACTGTTTCCCACTTCTTTCATAAGATTCCTTGCATTTTGCCCAAAGTTTGGCCGTAAGTCTCAGCATCTGCTTTGATAGTCTGCAGGGCAGAGCCTTTCAGAGGCCCTCTGTGGCAGGTTCCTAACTTGTTTCTTGTTTTCTCCTTCTTCTGATGTTCATCCTCTTTGCTTTGGGATGGGTATTAAGCATTTTAGCCACAGTCCTCCCTCTTGATTAGTTTGTTTAGGTGTACAGATTTTAGTAGGTTTATCCTATATTATAGTCTATATGAGTGAGTATATACCGTGTACATCTTTCTGCTTCTGGGATATCTCACTCAGGATGATCCTTTCCAGTTCCCACCATTTACCTGCAAATTTCCTGATTTCCTTGTTTTTCATTGCAGAGTATTATTCCATTGCATAGGTGTACCACAATTTCTGTATCCGGGGGTCTTTCCTGAGACTCATACTCCAACCAAGTACCATGCAGGGAGATAACCTAGAACCCCTGCACAGATGTAGCCCACGGCAGTTCAGTGTCCAAGTGGGTTCCATAGTAATGGGAACAGGGACTGCCTCTGATATGATCTGATTGGCCTGCTCTTGATCATCTCCCCCTAAGGGGGGAGCAGCCTTACCAGGCCACAGAGGAAGACAATACAGCCACTCCTGATGAGACCTAACAGATTATGATCAGAAAGAAGGAAAAGAAGCCCTCTCCTACCAGTGGTCTTGGGGCGGGGCATGCATGGAGAAAGGAGAGGAAGGGAGGAATTGGGAGGGGAGGAGGGAGGGAACTAGATGGGGGATGCAAAGTAAATAAAGTGTAATTAACAAAAAAGAAAATAAAAAGAGTTCATATTAAAACAAATAACAGTAGTCGAATCTTCAAGGTAAGGAGTAGATGGTATCATTAGGAGATAATGAATAACATGTTCCAAATGTGCTGCTTAGCAAGATGCAGTAAATTATACTTACAACAAAGCAAACAAAAACAAAAAAACGTAAGTCAATATGTTAAGTAATCCCTATGCATAAACTAGGTATATGATTATTCTCCATTAACTCAGAATATTTTAACCTTTACTTAAAAGTTTAATTTCAGAATTAATATGTTTACTTTTAAAGGCTGGAAAATATATTTCCACACATTTTAAGTCAAAGAAAAGCATAATTTAGCATTTTCCTTTTTTTTTTATTTCCTATTGATCTAGTCTTTTCTAATTCTAATAGGTTAAGTAGTGTTTGGACTTTTCTATAGCTCTTAGCCTTGAAAAAGGTAGAAATATTCTGATCATATACTTGCATTTTGTGTATTTAACAGCAGAAAAATACTAACTTAGCTACTTGGTGTCATTTTTATTATGAATCTGATGTATTGGAAATGTATATGCTATTACTTGTATGGTTGTTTTTCACCAATCATGACCAAATTGCCTAGATACTACACAATTAACTTCTGGACTCTTTGGCAATGTTACTCTCTCATATATACCATAAATCTTATTTTGAGAAAACCATTAAGAAATGAACTGTGGATTTTATAGAATACAATTTTTAGAAAGATTTCATTTTTATTTATATTTAATGATGTGTATCCATACATGTGCGGGTATGTGTACATGATAGTGCCTGTGGAGGCCAGAAGAAGACGTCAGATTTCATGGAGCTGAAGTTACGTGTACTTGTGAGCTACCAGATGTGAGTACTGGAAACAAGTTCCTGTGCAAGAGCAGTACACGCTCTTAACCACTAAAACATTTCTCTATCCCATGAACTATACCTTTTGGCACCCAAACTTTAAAATTTTAATTGTTGTGATGCAATAGAAAAACTGTCAAGTATTCTAAGGCAATTAGAAGTCCATTAGGTGATATTATTTTATTCATCCAATCTAAAATGAAGTGTTCTAAAAGAAGTGGATGGAAAAGACTCTTTCTGCTTCTACATCCATGCTCCCTTATTATGTGACAATATACCCATACAAGAGTGGATGATAACTAGACAGATATTTTTGGTCTATATTTTTTTTTCTATCTTGTCCCACTCCTACCTTACTTAAAATTTAAGAGTATATATGATCATCTTGTTTTCACAGCTAGAAGAAATAATTTCCGTTTTCATCTTCTATCCCTGCTGTACTGTCTTTATATTAGCTTCTGTTAAAATGGGCAACAATTAATGGCCTAGATCAAAAAAGCCAATCAAAACTGTCATTATTTAGTCAAGCCTAAATTATATGTAATAAAATTTACCTCAAGATACTTATTGTCACTTATTTGGTCCTATTTACAAAATATTTCATTATTCTAAGAAGGTAAGTAATAGAAGAAAACAGCTTTTCAAACTGTCTTGAATGTTAGCCACAAAATATAAATTTTCTAAGGATGGTTTGAATACTGCGTTTAGTAATCTGAAGGTCAAGAATCAAGATGTATGTATTGAACCTAGATAAAATAAAGGGAGATGAGACAAATCAAGAATATATCATAAGTGAAAGAATATATACAAAGCCCAATATAGGTAATGATCTCCCAAGATGGCAGTCAAGGCAGAATTCCCATTCAAAAATAATCAAGAGTTTAAACTTATACAAATAACAAAAGGATATTAAACACTAATTAGGGACAAGTAGATTCCATGATTAAAATATTAATAAAGCATAAAACTTTAGAGTAAAAATGTGACATAGTTTCCAAACATTTCAAAAACATCCGCAGAAATTACTTACCTCATCGTAATAAACTCTCAGCTCTGCTCGCTTAGATTTCAAGTCCCAGAATACTACAGTACCATTTTCATAACCTATTAACAGCTGAAAAATAGTAAAACAACCATTTCTTAATTCTGACATTAATTTTAACTGTTTTCAAATAAAAAGCAATAATACTATAAAGAAAAACATGCTATGCAATACAGCCTGACTTATACTACATTTCAGCACGTGAATATGTTTCCCACTATTAAAAAATTAAAAAAAAACAAAAACATTGATATAGCAATTAAAAACAAATTAAAAGGCCAGTAAAAAGGGCCTTGTTGCAATATAAATATGACCCAAGAACTCTGCTGGGTTCTAAAGAATTAAGGAAACATGGACATATACATGACACAATATATATATATATATATATATATATATATATATATATATATATGTGTGTGTGTGTGTGTGTGTGTGTGTGTGTCTATATATGTGTGTATATATATATATATATAGTGTGTGTGTGTGTGTGCTCTGTATGTTCTTTTTTATATATTTTTAATATTAGTTACAGTTTATTAACTTTGTATCTCAGCTGTATCCCGCTCCCTCATTCCCTCCCAATCCCACCCCTCCCTCCTTCATCTCCTCCCTGCCCCTTTCCAAGTCCACTGATAGGGGAGGACCTCCTCCCCTTTCATCTGACCCTGGTTTATCAGCTATCTTCAGGACTGGCTGCAAAGTCCTCCTCTGTGGCCTAGCAGGGCTGCTCCTCCCTTGTGGGGGGGGGGGAGGTCAAAGAGTCCGCCATTGAGTTCATGTCAGAAATAGTTCCTGTTCCCCTTACTAGGAAAACCCACCTGGATACTGAGTTACCATGGGCTATGTCTGAGCATAGGTTCTAGATTATATCCATACATGGTCCTTGGTTGGACCACTGAAACAGAAAGTTCACTGAGCATAAGCATCCATCACTCTTTATGCCCTGACTGTGGATATAAAGTGACCTGCATCATCTTGCTTCTATCTCTGTGCCTTCCTCACCATGGTAGACTTTTTTTCAACTACTTATCAAAAATAACCTCTTAATTCCATAAGTTACATTGGTCAGATAATTTGTTGCAGCAATAAAGGAAATAACTACCAATACACTGGTGTTCATCTTTAAATCAATATAAAGTATTTGAAAAATAAGTCTCCCTTTTAAGAGGAAAATTTGGAACAGGTAAAATTTAAATATTATCAAAAATATATTCGTAATCATTCTATGTTTTTATTTATTTTATGTGAATGATGTATTGCCTGTATAGTATGTGTATCACATGTATGCCTGGTGCATGTTGAAAACAGAAGAGAGAGTCAGAGTCCCTGGAACTGGAGTTAGAGTCAGTTGTGAGCCATCAAGTATGTGCTGTGACCTGAACCAAGACCATCTTCAAGAGTAAGAAGTACTCTCAACCACTAAGCTACTGCTTCCTTCCCTAGAGTTACTTTTGTGATATACATTATGCTTATACCCAAATGCTTAATTATAGAGCTATAGATGATAATGTTTATAGATGATAAAATTTGAAAAAGAGTTATACTTTTTGATATGCTAAATTAAATAACTTTTAAAATGTTAAAATACCAAAGTTATACATAACTGAATAATATTGCCTAAAGTCAAATTCATGTAAGCTCTTATATGCTATAGCAAACTATACTTGAAACAAATCAACTCTGTACATATGAAAGAACACAGTGAAAAATAAGACAAATTTTTATCTAGTATGTGGATAGTATGGTAGCACTGTGATTTTTTTCTAAAAAATTATTTTCTTTTGGAGAAAGTTAATTTATTCTTTGTTAATTTCATACAAGGTTACAATTTTTTAATTAATTTTTTATTTTCTATATTAATTACCATTTATTCACTTTGTATCCCAGCTGTAGCCCCTCCCTCATTTCCTCCCTTATCTTCTCCCATGCCTCTCTACAAGTCCACTGATAGGGGAGGTCCCCCTCCACTTCCATCTGACCGTAGCCTATCAGTTATCTTCAGGACTGGCGGCATTGTCTTTCTCTGTGGCCTGGTAAGGCTGCTCCGCCATCAGGGGGAGGTGATCAAAGAGTCAGCCACTGAGTTCATGTCAGAGACAGTCCCTGTTCCCCTTACTAGGGTACCCACTTGGAGACTGAGATGCCATGGCCTACATCTGAGCAGGAGTTCTAGGTTATCTCTGTGAATGGAATATCTGTGTCAGAAAAGACCCCCGGTCCCAGATTTTTCAGTTCTGTTGCTCTCCTTGTGGAGCTCCTGTCCTCTTCATGTCCCACTATCTCCCCCTTCTTTCCTAGGATTCTTTGCACTCTGCCCAAAATTTTTTTAAATATCATTTTAACAAAAACAAAAACAACAACAACAAAAACAATGGTGCAATCATTACAATTTCAACCACAGATATATTTAAAATTTTTAAAAGATTTTTAAAATTCTTTCAAATTTTTATAAGTAATTATCAAAAGAAAAAAAAATACCTTGTCTAGAAAACACTGGGGAGAACCTTAGTACGCATTAAGATATTAAATATTAAATTTCAAACAATCAAAATTATAGGCACTACAATGAAGTAAAATCAAAGTCAGTAACAAAAATATTTTAGGAACAGTATTTTTAAATAAGTAAAGCACAAACACATAAAGTATTTTTTAAAGTTTGAAAGTAAGGAACAAAATATCACACATTGCTTGATCACCTAACCCACTATGTTGTTCTGGGGACCAGCGAAGTCCTTACATGGAAGTCAGGTAAGAACTCCCAGGACCAATCAGCCTGCTGCCTGCTGCCTGCTGCCTTCCATCAGCAACACTACCCCCTACATTGCTCAGGGATTACATGGAGGCTGACTGGAACTCTATATAGGGACCTTAGTTAGAGTCAGTCTGCCTGACTGCTACCCCACCCACTCTCTGTACTACTCCCTAGCTTAACTGAGACAACTTCTTACACTCCACTTTCAGATCAACACAGAGTGGCCTCAAGGTTGTAAGGCAAACACAATTTAGCTCACCTGTAACCTGAGAAGCTGGGTCACAACAAAGGGAAAAAAAATCTAAACATCCACTCAACAAAGACAAGACCAGATACTCACACCATTGACTTAATCCATTCAACAAAACAAGACCAGATAACCACACCATTGACTTAACTCAAGATGCTTAGGTCCCACTGCATTAACAATCTAAAATAGGAAAATAAAGTTAAGATATATAATCTCTAAGGAGAAAAAAGTCAAACCGAAGTAAAACTCAATATGAAAAATTCAGGAAGTTGAACAAAAAGCTAAAAGGAAAGCTTCAACAACAGACTGGACCTGAAATCAACAAGAAAATATCAGGTCTTGAAGAAAGGGTAGAAGAAGTAAGTCAATCAGTCAAAGACAATGTTAAATCTAAAAAATTCAGGAAAGGACCATGGAGGAACTCGGAGGCCCTGTGGAAGTACCAAAGTTATGATTCAAGGGTAAAAAAGAAGAAACCCAAATCAAAGGCATAGAAAATATTTTCAACAAAATCATAAAAGATTTCCTAAATCTGAAGAGATGTTTCTCTAGATATGCAGAACACCAAATACATAGAACTAGAGAAGAAACTACCCACATAACATAATAATCACAACATTAAATGTACAGAAACAAAACAAAACTAAAAGTTGCAGGTCAATATAAAGACAGACCAATCAAATAATACCTTACTGTTCAATGAAGAAAATTCTAGAACCAAAAAGGCCTAAGAAAACACCACCACAAAAAACAAAATAACAGAAATTAATAATATTGTTCAACAATAACTCCTAATATTAAAGATCTCAATCCCTAAATAAAAACAAAGAATTATAGATTGGATTAGAAAATAGATCAACACTTCCTGGCAGGGCAGCCTCACCAGGTCGCAGGGGAAAAGGATACACAATCTTGACGTGACTTGATCTGCTGGTGTAGCTTGGTAGAGGGAGGGTTCCCCCTTTCTGAGGAATAGGGAAAGGTAGTGAGTGGGAAGAGAGAAGGAGGGTGGGACTAGGAAGAGAGGAGGAAGGGGGCTACAATCAGGATGTAAAGTGAATAAATTAATTAATTTTTAAAAATAAAAGCAAATAGGATCAACCCTTTTACTTCCTCCACGAAACACTTCACTGTGGAGTTGGTGGTGTTACTGTGTTTCTATGCTTCTTTTCTTTTAATTTTTTGTTCTGAATTTATCTGTATCTTGTGTTTTCTTGGGTGTAGTTGTTTTCATTGGGTTAGAGTTTTCCTTCTAGTATCTTCTGTAGGGCTAGGTTGCTGTGTATTGTTTAAGTTTAGTTTTGTCATGGAATATTTTGTTTTCTCCATCTATGTTGATTGAAAGCTTTGCTGGGTATAGTAGTCTGGGTTGGCGTCTGTGGTCCCTTAAAGTCTGCATAACATCTGCCCAGGCCCTTCTGGCTTTTACAGTTTCTGTTGAGAAGTCTGGTGTGATTCTGATGGGTGTACCTTTATATGTTACTTGGCCTTTTTCGCTTACTGCTTTTTTAATTTTTATTTTCTTATTAATTACACTTTATTCATTTTGTATTCCCCCATAAAACCCTCCTTCCTCCCCTCCTAATTCTACCTTCCCTCCCCTTCTTCATGCATGCCCCTCCCCAAGTCCACTGATAGGGGAAGTCCCCCTCTCCTTCCTTCTGATCTTTGTCTATCAGATCTCATCAGGAATGACAGCATTGTCATCTTCTGTGGCCTGCTAAGGCTGCTCCCTTCCCCCCTCAGGGGGAGGTGATCAAAGAACAGGCCAATCAGTTTATGTCAGAGGCAGTCCCTCTTCCCATTACTCTGGAACCCACTTGGACACTGAACTGCCATGGGCTACATCTGTGCAGGGGTTCTAGGTTATCTCCATACATGGTACTGGGTTGGAGTATGAGTCTCTGGAAAGACCCCTGTGTTCAAATTTTTTGGTTCTGTTGCTCTCCTTGTGGAGCTCCTGTCCTCTCCAGATCTTACTATTTCCCTCTTCTTTCATAAGATTCCATGCACTCTGCCCAACAGTTGGCCATAAGTCTCAGTATCTCCTTTGATAGTCTGCAGAAC